CTAGTGACCCAAAATATCTGCTCTATTGGCCAAGCCAGGATTAAGGAGGATTTTTCAAGAGTTCAGATGAAGGCACTGAGGTGAGATGCAGCCTCCATAATCAGGATGGTGTAACAGGACCTGCCTTCAGCAGAAGACAACTCCTTCCCTGGAATAGCCTGATCACCCTTCCTCTCCCCATCCTACTCCAGGAATACACAAGATTTGGCAGCTGAAATGTCACCATCTTTCAAAACAGTTTCTCAGCTCCACAAAACAAGATCACTTTGGGTTAACTGAGGGAATTTTCACCCTCTTTGGGGACAATGACCTGTTCTCAGTTTATCCATCCCTTAATCTTCTTTATGAGAGTAATAACATGTCTGGGCATTTGGGAAATTCAGTAGCTATGGAGCAGGGCAACATCTCTCCTTAGCAATGTGATCTCCTACCAAGCCATCCCACATTTAAGATCTTGTGGTGTGTCTGAGGCAGAGCTACTTCAGCTACATCCAGCTAATATCAATAATAGACACTTGTTGTAAGTGCAGGATCTCATACACATGAGCTGAATCTGTGCCCCAGGAGGAAACCTCACACACACAACGTGTCAGCTAAGTCAGCCTTCCCCTTCATTAACACTTTTAATTGGATGCTGCAAATGAATTTGCTTGCTGTGTTAGCTGAAGGGGTCAGAACCAAAGCTCCCCAACTGAGCACAGAAATTATACAGAATTATCAGTTGTGTTCCAACATAAGACAGGAAACAGAAAGATTAATTCTCTGTCCTCAATTCACCTTCCTGGGCTTTCTGCAGCCACTCCACAGAATCAAAGATTAACACTACTCAGGGAAAACTCCCATTGCTTTTGCTGGCCGTTTTGCTCCAGGAAGGTCCGTGTGATGGGAACAGCTTCTTCCAAAGCCAACAGCTTCAAACCATGGCAAACCTGCCAAGAATAGAGGCTGGCTTTGCAAGAACAAGTCTGATTTTCAAATGGAAGGTGCTTTCATGCGTGAAGTGCAAGAGAAAAAAAAAACCTATTAAAGGTGGTAAATGGTGCAAATTGTTATGCTCCAGGGGAGAGAGATGTGAAAACTTTGATGGTTCCTCAAGTGGAACAGCAAATTTCATCTGTCAAATTGTATTAGATGTAAACAGAAACAAACTGTGAATCTTTTCTGAAACGTGGCACTGGGTAATCTCAGAAAAGATGAGATTACCCAGAAATCCAGCCTTGAATTCAGCCAAGGTGTCTGAACACTGTAGGTACTCAAAGAGATGATGTGGAAATGATGCTCAGATTTCAGGCACAGTGGAGGAAAAGGGAAGAAATGCCTTCTATCCATCTGCAGGAAGGCCACAGTGCCAGGGCACCACACGGATCCTGAGTGGCTGTGCCTGTGTGACCTCTGAAATGATGAGGAATAAAGGCTCTAAGAAATGGTTCTCTCTGCCTTTTAGAAGCAGCTGAATATCACCAAAGAGAACATCAAGCTCAAGCCAAACCTCTGTGTTGCAGCCAGGAGGGACAACAGCCTTTCAGGTTTTTTTGTCTGCCACAGAGCAAATACAAACTGCAAGTTATAAATGGCTCGAGATTCTTTGCTTTCCCTCGGAGTGGGAATACTAAGTCCCTCTTCTGGGAAAGCTTTTGGAAAGAGAGATCAGTTATTTTTTGTTTTTAATCATTGACACAGGGAGAGCTTTCCCACTTCTTAGTTACAGCAGAAAAGAAAAGGAGAGGGAAAAAGCCTCTGGGGTGTCTCAGAGGGAAAAAAAGCAAAGGTGTGATACAGATGATTCCCAAAAGCAGCTCTGCTGTTTTGCCTTCCATTGTGGAGAGGTGCTGCAGGAGCTGAAGGTGGCTGTGAAATCCACCAGAGTACCATGGATCTTTGATCTGTGGGTTCCGGAGCACGGCTCTGGAGCTCCAGGTGTCTCCATGAGGTTCACTCTCCTCTGGTGTTGCAAGTGTTGAAGGACAGGTTGGATGGGGCTTGGAGCAACCTGGTCTGGTGGGAGGTGTCCCTGCCCATGCAGGGGGGTTGGATCTAGATGATCTTTAAGGTCCTTCCAACCCAAATCATTCCATAATTCTATGATTTCCAGGAATTTGTGAGCCCCAGCGGCAGGTTGGCAGCTGCCACCCAGACAATATTTTGATGAAGATTAAGAAAAGGAGAATTCAGCTGCCATGGCAAGGTTGGGAAAGGGAGGAGTTCTAAAGTAACTGCAAAACTTAGTCATATTGTGGAGATCTTTAAGACAGTTTCACATTGGAATACCGAGAGAACTTCAGCAATAATGATCATGATCATGCTCTCTACCAGACTCCCAACTGTGTATTCCACCTGCTCCCAAGTCCATCCCTGGTTCCTGGTGCAGTCAAACTGCCCAGACCAACTCAAGCACCTGCTCTTGGCTTGGAAGCCTCCCTGAAAATGCTCTGCCTACCTTCTGGCTCTAAGCACTTCTGGAATATTCAAATGTTCATGCAAAACGTAATCTACAACAAACAGCAATCAGTCTGATACACTACAGCTCAATTACTGCCTTGGTTTCTCTAACAGGTGCTGTCAAATAAATCTCCTGAATAAATCAGTCCCATTGTAACCTTTAGGAAGGCTTTTATATCTGCATTTGCTGAGTGGGAGGACTTTTTTCTCTCAGTTTTTTTACTGTCAAGTCAGATGAAAAACACACTAATCAAGAGAGACGTGCACCAAGTGCCTTGGAGGTGAACTCCTGTTTACACCAAGGTCTCCTCCACACACTTCAGGATTCTGATGCTACCACAGCAAAGAGAACCAAGCCCTGTGGATCCAGTCTGGTTTTCATCATGGATGGACTGGGAGAAGCCTAAAATACTGAGGCTGCCTGCATCAGATTGTCACACACCTTTGCATCATCTATGTTTTATTCTTCTATCCCAGCTTGGCCTTTCTTATTCCTGGCAGGAGACTCCCAGGGACATCCAGCAAGGTGGAGACTCATAGGGCATCTATTTGAAGGTCCCCATTTATAGCAAATATCTCTGTATACATTTCTGTTATGCTCCTTCTCTTTTTTTGCAGCAAAACCTGGTCTAGTGGGAGGTGTCCTTGCCCATGCAGGGGGGTTGGATTAACATGATCTCTAAGGTCCCTTGAACCCAAACCATTCTATGATAAAATCCATCTTTGCTTTCTTCCCCCTTCAAAAAACAGTGCCCCTGAATATGTCCTTCCCCATTCTTGCTCCTTATCACATTTCAAATGTCCATCAAAATGTACTGTGGATTTTTTTTTTTCATAAAGAGCCTTGGCCTGGAAAATGGATCAAGAGAATCACTCCTATTTAATTTAGGTTCTTCCCTCTGCAGGGGGTTGCTTTCCCCCCCCCTCCTCAGATGCTCTGCAGTAAGATGAAGCAAGTGAAAGTGTCAGCTCATTCTGAGATGAGAACAGCACTGGGATTGTCTGTTGGCATCAGGCAGCAGGGATACAGATGCACAACAACAGAAGATTAGCAGGTAGTGACTCTGTAACTAGTACTCTTTTAGCTGGAATGTAAATACTGCTCCTCTAGGACAGCAACAGAGAGGCTGCTGTGAGCCAGGCAGGATCAAGCTTGCAGGACTCCAAGGGATTTCAAAGTTCAGGAAGCAGGTCAGCAGAAAGAGGTTCTCTGAAGTCACAGAGAGGGGAGTAGCACAGACTGAACAGGAAAAGTCACCCCAGTGCCACCACTGCTTGACATCTTTAGCTATTTTTCTTTTTATGCCTGCTACAGATGTCACTGCTTAGAAGAGCCTGGTGGCACCAGTGAAAAAAGGGATGTGGGAGCATGTGGGAAAGCTAACCAAGGAAATGCAAAGATACAAGGGCAGCTACAGTGCTGGCCCATGCTGAAGAGTCTCTGCTATACCACTTCCTTCTGGAAAGCCCATCTTTTGTGCTGCAGTGTCTCTGGTTTCTCTGTGCAGCATGAAGCCCTGTGTTTCCTGGCATAGCTCAGTTCTAATTAATGAAATGAGCTAGTAACAGTTGGGTATTTAGATGCTCAGCAGGCTGGTGTTCCAAAAAATCTGAAAGCACTTAAAAGTGCTTTTGTCTCCAGAGCAAGGTTGACAATCCCTCCCAGCTTGTGACATTCAGGAGGAGTCATAGCAGGAACAATGACCATGGAAGTATCCTGAGCATTTTCCAGGCCTGTTTGCAGAGAGTAAAAAATTAGTTAAAACATTAAGATATGGGAAAAGGAGATTGAGTGTCCAAGATTACTGGAATATGAAGACACAAGCTAAGTTCTCCATGATACTCTGTGGAAGAGATCACTTGTGGGTGAAGATAAGGCACTGAGGTCATTAGTTTGCTTAAGGTAATTGAGTTGAGTATTGCTGGACGTATAATGATATGAGACCAGATAGCTTTGAGGAAACTGTGTCTACCAGCCATTCAGGGGAATCACTTCCCCCTTCCTGGAGATCTGCACTCCAAAAAGGCAGCAGCCCAGGTCTGGACTTACCAAACCAGCCATCAGTATCTCAGAGCTGATGTGATTACAGCCTGATTCCTTCACACACGTCAGTGCAGCTCCAGGGACCAAGGTACAAGGCTTGTCACCCTGCCCCAGAGTGAACCTAAGCAGTGTTGGAGGCTCCACCAAGATAAGATTGCAGGTGGCATCTGCTCCACAGCCATGTGTTTGAGCTCCAGATTTCCCAGCTGCTGATCCTACCTGCCTGCTGATCCAGGGCCTGGAAGACAGCAAGGTCTTTCTTGGAGAACAATCTGTCTCCAGTATGAGACCTTTCAGAAGCTAGAAAACCCAAATATAACCAACAAGAGAGGCAAATTCTCATTACTTTGGTGGGCCAACAAAATCCATAGTGAAGTCTGAGATGAGAGTTATCTCAAAGAAAGTAAAGAAGGGCAGTGTACATAGAGGTGCACTCTGCAGTATCCCATCTTCCCCTAATTAATCAGTGAAGGTTACGGTGCTGGAAAAAACTTGTAATTTAAGTAGTAGAACTTACTACAGATGAAAGGTCCATGTTTACCATCCTCCTGTCATCCAAGTCCACTGGCTGGAGGCCTGCAACGTTGATCTGGACAGAGGAGGTTCTGTATACAAACCTCAGCAGCCAGTCCCCCCTAAGAGCAAAGCAGAAGAAGAGTGGGAATCAATCCTGTTGCCAAAGCAAAACAACGTGTGACTGCTCAGACCAGGAGGAGAGCAGGAGGGCTGGGCCAAGACCTGCTGCAGCTTTGTCTGACGTAGGAATCAGAGCAGTTGCTGAATTCAAGGCAGCTTCCTGGGTGACAGTGGTGTAAGTCAGAATTGAATCCTGATTCATGGGGTGCAGGATCATGACATGCAGCAGGTTGGAAAATCTGACCATTCTATTGATTTCTGTAGTTGCTGAGAGATTGCAATGCATTCCCATGTTTAATATTTTTATCTACCTATTAGGTAGAAGTCCTCCAGCCTGTAGACAGCTGTGAACATGATGGTGCCTACAATGCCAGTGTTGCTGACAGAAATATCGACTGTGAAGCTCCTCAGAGTGCTCCTGATTTATGGGTACTGCATAAATACACGGTTTCAATGACAGGACTGGGAAGAGCTTGTCCCACCATAAAGCATCTCCATAACTCACTGTGACAGTTTCAGGGTAGACTGGAGCATGATGAGAGAAGGGGATGTGTCCTTTGGACATACACAACCTCTTCTATGCATAAAAGTCGGGCACTTAAATGCCACTACACTCTACAGAGTGGATTTAAGTTGGATGCAAGTGGTATTTGTGCCCTGAGATGGCAGCAGGTGAAATGGCCCCACCATTTCTGGCTGCTCCTGTTCACTTCAAAACGGTCTGTGTTACATTTTTTTAAGTCTCTGCAAAATCTTTGCAAAGCATCTGTTCTGGGTTCCTTCAAAAACTGAGTCAGTCTAACTAATTTGGTTAAGGTTTCCCACTAGGAATTTGTAACCCTGCTGTGAAATCAGATGGGACAGCTCTGACAGTTGGTTTTCACTCTCCATGCCGTTTCAGACTTCTAAGCTGAAGGAGACAAGATACAGTGGACTGAAACTCAACAAATTGGGCCCAAATCTGATGGTGCAGGAAATCTATTCAATGTAACTCATCTGATCTAAACTAAGTTACTCCTCGAGTGACAGAACAAGGCCACAACTGGTGTAAGAGAGACCAGAGAAATCAGAATCAGGTGAGTTCTTACCACAAAATGTTTGTATAACCCTTCTCTCATATCTAATATCCTCACATAAATTCTTCATATCTCTCAGTTCCCCCCTCTAGCTGCTCCTGCATAACTGAATAACCCTCAAATTCAGCATCTGAGGGCAAAGTAGAGAACCAGAGTAGTGGAATATTTCCCGACAGTCTCCTCACCTGCTTCTTCCTATTTGTGAGCAACAAGCTACAATTTCTACATCATTTTTCATTCAACATTCAAGACCTGGGCTTGTCCAAGCAGAGACTCCCCAGATTACAGCACACAGAGAGGCATAAACACATGTACTATCTTATTTCAACATGCAGGCTTTGAAACTATAACAATAACTTTTTTTTTTTTTTAATAATATTCTAGGAAACGAATCCACCAAGCTTTTTAAAGTGAAATTGATTTTTGTATAACATGGGGAGGAATGATATTTGCCAGGGTAAATTCAACCTTACCCAACACTTGCTATCATTTCTGGCTTCTTGCAGCACTCCCAGGGAGGCAGCAATTGTTTTTTCCTTATGTCCCATAAAGAAATCCTGTAACTGCTGTGCACATCCAGCATCCATAAAACCTCCTGTGATCCAAAAAGGACAAAAGTAATAATTTTCAGCCTCACTGACAGATGGGATTAATATAAATATGTGTGCATGGAAAGTACCAACAGCATTTTAACTGTGGTTGGCCTGAGGGCTCACTCCTTTATAAGCTGTCTTGACTTGCAGCTACATGTTCTTTGCTTATCTTCTTGCCTGGTTATTTCTCAATTTATTTTCCCAAGCTCTTAGTCTTCCCTGCTTCATTCCTTCATTTTAGTTTCTCCTCTTACTAATTGTGCTGGTAAGCAGTGTTCTTGGCAGAATTATCTTCCTATACACAGTCATTAGATTTGATGCTGTCACTTGAATTCATAATAGCTTTTGTAAGATGGTTTCAGCTGTTTCATGCCTCTGAATCTCCTTCTTCTCACCGAGCAGGTCCCACAACTCTGCAGTTGTCTCTGCAGTTTTAAAAGGCTGGTATTTGGTTTCAAGGTAACCTTTCCATTTCATCACATCCTTGGTGAATCTGCTACAGTTATTCCAGCTACACCTCCTCTTTAAGTGAAATATCTTGCTCACATGGACCAGAAAGATAGATATGAAAAATCTCCATTTTGTTTGAGCTCTTTCCCCCACCCCCCCTGCAATTTCCACATCTTGTTCCCCAAGTGAATTGTGTCTCAAAGCTTTTATAGCTTTTCATTCACATTCATTAACTGTCAGTGAACTTAACAGTTGTATTTACAGTCCTTTACCTAAAGCTGATATTTAAGGGGCCTAAAGGATATGCCAAATGATGATCAGAAATCCAGTGACCCAGCTTTGAGCTGCCAGGGTGATGTAACAGTGCCACCATACCAAGAAGAGCCAGAGCAGCCTTCAGATGTCTACTCAGGACTGTCACCTCCCCTTAATCTGAGGGAGAGACCTGCAGAGGGAAGAGGCTCTGGCACTGCTGTCTCTGAATCAATGTACTCACCAGCTGAACAAATACTTAGAAAATGTTTCAAAGGGATAAATGTAGGAAAATAATTTCAAAGTGACTCTAGGACATCAAAGCTGGGGACTAAGCATGTACAAACCTGCAGTAACCATTTATGATCCTGCCTGACACCACTTTCCTGATAGCTTTCCAGTGCTTGGCTTCTCCTTCCACTGGAGCTCCCAGTAAAACCACATCCTCAATGATCCCTTGAGAGTCTAAGGGTGAAAGGAGAACAGCTCAGGTTTAGAAGACAGATGAGAAAATGGATCTTTACATGTACATGAAGGAGGGGTATGCCCAGATGTGTACTACAGAAAAGTCACCATTTCTGTGGTTTAAATTTTAAAGACAGAAACAATGGAAAGGAGAATCTTAAACAGAATTTTGCATAAATATTCATCAGGTCCAGCTGGAGGCAGTAAATGTGAAAATTAGAGTACCTGAGGCAGGGATGATGGAAAGAGGGAGCAGTGGCCTGGCCTCTGCCCAGAAAGATGCAGTTCAAGCAGCAAACCTGTGGAAAACTCAGTTGAAATAATGATTGAATGAGAAATATTTGGGCTCTGCTACTTTCCTAAACTGTTAAAAAATATATTAATATATGTTCATAAAGCTTTGTAAAGAGAGATCAAGCACCTGATGCCTAAATTTCACCTGAAGTGAAAGTGAGAATGACTGCATACCACATCAAGTTGTAACAGGGAGGTGCTGCCTGGCTGGACTTTTAAAATATAAATCAATAGGTTTCCTTTCCCTGATAACAGTAAACAACCTGCAGTGCCTGCATCCTTCCCTGCTGTGTAAATCCCAGCACCCTGACAACAATCCAAAAGAGCTCTGGTGGCATTAATTGTTATTGCAAAGCTAATTTTGCACCCATCAAGAGAACAGCAAATGGCAAGTCAATTTTGTTAGTGTAATCTGTGAGCAATAAAGTCCAGCCTTGTGAACAGGGAGCTGGTTCCAACCAAGGTACTAAATTCCATGGCCAACTGAATAAACAAACCATTCATTCATGAGGATTCCAAACATTTGGGCAAGGTATTGGAAGCTTTTGTTTCTCCAGTCCTTTGTACAGCTCATTTCTTGTTCTGAACAAAAATGTTTAGCTGAAAAATGCTCCTGTAGAGAGAGGGGAGCAGAAACCTGAGAACAGATCACTGGCATGAATAGCTGCTGACATTCTTAATTAATTAAATGTATTTCACAGTCTGAAAATATTTTATATGCTGAAGAACAATAAAGGCTCCACAAGCAGGAGGGGGAAAAAAAGGAATTACTGATGGACAACAATTAAAAACTGACAAGATTATTTGTCCAGAAAAGGTGTGGAAGATACAAGCTGACCTGGAGGCCATAACCAGTTCTTGGGAGCTGGGTTTGCTGTGCCCTTGGGGTACAACTCTCTGGGCACAGAAGAAAACATCCCTTCACCTCAGTCCTCACCCTCAGGTTTCAGAGGTGGTAACAGCCATTAGCAGGTTTCACTAGTTTACACTTCTTAGTTATTAAATGCATGGGAACTGTGAGGAAGAAACAGACCAATGTGTTTCCCATGCAGTAAGTCATCTCTGACATTACTGCATCTTCTGCTATAAAGCCATTTTCTGGAAACCTACTAAGCTCTGACTTCCAGAGTCATTTGTGATTAAGTACATCCCAAAGGTTACTTAATTGCTTTGCTGAAGAGTATTTTAACAGACTTAGAGTTTCTGCCATGGTGTTTCACAGGATAATCCATGCTTAGTTATTTGTCCTTGGAAATGCCACTGCCATCTGGATACAAACAGCCTGCATGACAAAGCCTTGTCTTCCCTTTGTGTGAGACATTCAAGTCCAAGCCCAGATCAGTCTCAGATGTTCCAGGTCCCAGCTCCATTTCTTCTTTGGCTTGCTCTGGAATGTGCATGTGAAGAGCGCCTTGGCAATCTGCACTAAACATGTTGCTTGTCATCTCCCAAATAGCTCAGCTTTCATAATTCAATTAAGGAACTGAAAAATTAGTGTACAGTGGGGAGCTGCTATGATACATAATTATGATGCTTGGATTTCTTTAGAATGGCAGCCAGCCTTAAAGACCCCTAATGATTTCCTTTCATGTATTACTTTGCTACAGTGTCACGTTATTCCAGCAAGAGGCTGCAGATCATTAAATAAAAAGGCTGAAAATATCTCAACCCCTGGCATTCTTGGGACACAAAAAGAGTAGATCTAGGGCCAGATTAGGATCTGGGTTCTGCCTTCAGTCTAGCTCCATTTGGATCATTCTGTGTTTGATTAGATTTGTTTGGAGAATAGGAATCCTGTATTTGAGGACTTGTGTCTTAAACCAGGAGTTAAGCTCTGGCACGTGGCTGTCAACAGAAGGAATACTGACCTTCTCCATCCTCACCTGGCTCTATTCCCACCTTCTTGGACTTCATGAAACATTTTCCTTTACAAAGTTCCTTATTTATTAGTGATTCTTTGTGAGGCTAAATGGTTAATGAATTAAATTAGCTATGTAGGGGGAAGGCAGGCTGCACACACACACTTACTACTGACTCAGCTCCAAGATGTGATTTACATCAACTGATCATAATTATTTGATTCTTTTCTTTCTAAATTAAAAATAGAATCTACTAATAAACAGCACCACAACTGGTAATAAATTGACAGATGGTTCTCTACTTGACTTTGGGGGAAAATTACCCTGAAAATAGCAGATGACAGTGGTGTTTCAGTGACTTAAATGGAAGGGAGGATGGAGGGAGGCAGATACAATAGCTACAGGAAGCTCCCAATAAAGGCAAAGCTTCCTCTGCCAAGATCCCAGTGGTGAGTGGGCAGCTCAGACTGGTTTGGCAGTCAAATGTCACAAAATGTCAAGTTGTTTTTTACAGACTGGAGAGCGAACTGACACCCTGGAGCACCTGGAGTGAAGAGAGTGGGTTTAAGCCACTGAACTGGTGGAAAGGACAGCAGAATTTGGCTCCAAATGGATTTCAAAACCTTTTTCTTTTGGGTTTCTGTCCTATCCTAAAAGATCCGAGTTCTGTTCCAGAAGAACTCCAGAACTCCTCCTCTGGGAAAAAAAATTGCTCCAACAGTGAGGAAAATAAAGGAAGAAAATGCTAGAAGGTGAATTTTACCTTTTTCTTGAGCCATTTCTTGCAGGCAGAAATAAATGACTCTTGCACCCAAACTGAAGCCAATCAGTGAGACAGGTCGTTTGCCCTAAGGAAGAAGGAAAAGGGACACCACCATCAAAATGTGTTCCAGACCTAGAAAGACTGGCCACAGGATCCCCCAGACCCTGACACCCAAAGAACTTATGCTGGTGTATGATCTTTCAAACATTTAACTTGGTTGATTTCAAACAGATTCTGCATCCTCAAAACTGTCCAGTTCAACATAAAAAATAATCTGCATATCTGAGTATTTTGTTATTTTTTTGATGTTCAGAAAATCAACGGAAAGAATTTAATGATCACAAGTTACAACCAAGAAGGTATTTCCAACAGAAAGAAAACAGATGCTGTCATTGGTTTAAAATGTCCAAATCAAGGCCTAATTCAAGGAACAACATTTTCCTGGAAATGTCTCAATACCCAGAAGCAGCAGCTGTAATACAAAAATCTTGATTTAAGACTGAGTGACAGCAGCAGGGTGTGGCTTCTTAAAAAAATAGGGGTAAGCTTTTCTTTTGAATAACCTAATGAGATTTTCTAAAAGATCAAAGGAAGCCCAGTCTCAACAACCATGAAAAATGATCTTTGTGTTAACTGGGGAGCAGGTGGACTCCCTAGACAACACATTGACTTGTTTTAGATGCTCTAGCACATTGGAATATGTGTTTTCACAATGCTGAATGCTTAAAAGGCAGTAACAAATGCCCCCAAGCATGAAATAAAAGTTTATTGCCCTTCCTGGGATTGTATTTTTATGACAAATCAAGTTTGTTTCTACTCTGCTGTTTCACATGATTATTTATGACAAGCAGCTCCCAGAGGGCTCCTCTGGAATAGATCCTGGACTTGTGTGCCTGCAAGATGAAGACGTGGCCAGCAGAAGAGACCCCTCCATGCCAGAGACAGCCCAGCCAGGAATTTCTTGAGGCAAAACCCCCTGTTTTTTAATAACATCTATCACTTCTTTCAGCTACCAGCCCATTCCACTTCTCTGTAGGCAAAGCCATGGCTCACAGTGCATCTCCTGATGCATGGTCTGCTCCTATATTGATTCCTGGGGCCTCTTTGTTATCAGGGAATATTTTAACCCTGTATTCTCTTCCCTTTTTGACCAATCTTTACTTTTTTTTCTCAAATTTCCACCAGGTGAGCTGGCCCGGCTGTTCTGTGACATGATCAAGCCACTTGTCATCACCTGTATCTCTTTTTCTACCATTAGAAAACCTTTAGATGGGATGAATCTTTAGCAGGAATTCTCAGATTCCCTTGGGACTTCCTGTTTTTCCTCAAAGAACCAGACACATGCTGGTCACCTTCATACAGAATTTATTAATCTTTGAGTTTATCATTTGTTTTCTTCTCCCTGGAAAGATATAACTTGATAGTTTACTAGCATGCCTATAAAAATTGACCTCCATGGGTCAAATTCTTTCCAGAGATTATTCCTGGCTACCTTCTAGCCCATTACCTGCTGTCGACTGAGCAGGATATGTGCCAGGTGTTTTCCAACCTCAGCAGAACGATGGAGACACACTCCCCAGGGGTTGTCAATGACACTGGCCACAGTCAGGAGTGAAGCTGGCCAAGTCAAGGCTGTCACAATACCTGCCACATGCAAAGCAAAAAGCACAGTCAAGGATCTGGGTTCCTCTTAGGAAACATCAAAAGCAAGGCAGTTCAGTGAAGTTAAAAGCTAAAGCTCTTATCATTTCCAGTTCTTCTTTCTCAAGAGCTGATCTGAGGAATGTTTGGCTAGACTAAAGATAAGAAAGAATCTGATGTTCTGACACAGAGGGGGACAGACACTCCACATGAAGGTAACCTGCACGTCAGAGGTTTCTGTCAGGCAGTGGAACTGTAATAACAGAGAAAGAAACAATCACCCACAAAGTGTTTGCAGCTGTAATTTTAAAAGAATGAGTCAATGACACAGAGAGACAGTAATCCAGGAGAGGAAATCTAAATCACTGGTGGTCCAGAGAAGGTTCTCAGGACTCTTCTGTGCCAAAACTGCCAAGGGAGGAGCCTTCTCAGAAATCTCCCTTGTTTTCGGAAGTTCATTTAAACAGCCACCAACAGTCAAACTGCACAAGAGCCACCTAAGCAGATCTGAGACCATTCTCACCTGACAAGACAGTGAATTTTAGGGCTTCCTGAGCCATCATGCTCACAAAACCATTCAGCAGGGAATCTAAGGCATTGCCAAGCTCCATGAGGTACTTGGTTTCCCAGGCCAGGCAGTACTGCTCGCTGGAGTGCAACATGCTGCTCCATGGTGCTGTGAAGCTCCCTGAGAAAAGTTGCAAAGGTGGAATTTATGTGCAGAGAAAACACAACAGTGGCTGATTCCTGGCAAGATGAGCCCACCAGAGAATCAGAGAAGAACTGGCAGGATACTGGAATGTACCAATATAACAAAGAATTACAGTTCAAACTACTGTGAGATTTAGACTCTGTGTTTCTGTTGCTTCACAATAAATTTGGTCTTTGTTAATAATCCTGCAGCTTTAGCTGCCTTGGCACAGAGTCTGCAGTGTGGACAGGCTCAGACTTCATGACCTGTTCAGTTGCCTCAAAGACTACCAAGACAGATGGACATTAACACTAATTATGTCAGGTATTGAGGACATTCCTCCTATCATCATACATAAAGCCCAGTCTGTGGGTAAGAATTAAGGGGCAAGCAGGTGCGGGTGACACAGTTGTGGGGGTCTACTACAGACCTCCTGATCAAGGTGAGGAGGTTGATGAGGCTTTCTACAAGCAACTGAAAGCAGCCTCACAACTACAGTCGCTGGTCCTCATGGGAGATTTCAACTACCCTGATATCTGCTGGAAGACTCACACAGCCAGCCTTTCACAGTCTAGGAGGTTCCTCCAATGCATTGATGATAACTTCTTAATGCAAATGGTGGACAAGCCGACTAGAAGAGGAGCGCTGCTGGATCTTGTACTAACCAGCAAGGAGGGCCTTGTTGAAGCAGTGGTGGTCAATGGCAGCCTTGGCTGCAGTGATCATGAGATGGTGGAGTTCAGGATCCTGTGTGGAAGGAACAAAATACCCAGCAGGACCAGAACCCTGGACTTCCACAGGGCAAACTTTGGTCTCCTCAATCATCTATTAAGGGAAATCCCATGGGACAGGGTGCTAGAAAATAAAGGAGCTCAAGATAGCTGGTCAACATTCAAGGACCACTTCTTGCAAGCACAGGATCAGAGCGTCCCAATGGTGGTGACCTCATCAATGTTTACAAATATGTAAGGGGTGAGTGTCAGGGGGATGGAGTTAGGCTTTTCTCAGTGATGACCAGTGATAGGACAAGGGGTAATGGGTGTAAATTGGAGCATAGGAGGTTCAAGGTGAATATCCGAAAAAATTTTTTTACTGTAAGAGTGACAGAGCACTGGAACAGACTGCCCAGGGAGGTTGTGGAGTCTCCCTCACTGGAGACATTCAAAACCCACCTGGATGAGTTCCTGTGTGATGTACTCTAGGTGACCCTGCTCTGGCAGGGGGGTTGGACTAGATGATCTCTCGAGGTCCCTTCCAGCCCCTAAGATTCTATGATTCTATGATTCTATGATTCAGTCCTGCAGCTCCATCTTCTCATGCAGACCAAAGGAGGGCCTGGCCTGAGAAGGATGAAGTGTTGAATGGACTGAGTTCAGTGGGACCAGGAGCACAGAAAAGAGGAAAGAATTAGTCAAAATCTTATCACGGAGCATCTCCTCAGAACTTCAGTTAGATGACCAATAATTGCAGTAATGGCTCTGTCTGAAAACAAGGATCCGCACTTGCAGATCCAGACTGCAATTATTTTCACTTGTCATCTAGCCTCAGTAAGACACTTCAGTCTAATTTTTTCCCTCCAGGTGCTAATGAAAAGCAGTGCCTGGATGCTTGAGAGATAATGGATAATTTCCCCTGTACAAGTCTAATTTTTTTGGCTGAAAAAACAATTTTTAAGCTGTACTCTTTCCTGTTTGTAGTGTAGCTTGTACTAAGTAGCCAGGAGGGGCCTGGCAAGGCTGTTATTAGCAGATGGACTCTGAAGGGCAGACTAGAATTTTCATTTTAATTAACTGAAATCCTTCCCACCCTGTTCCTACCCGAAACAATGCAGGGCAGGTTGAGGCATGAGAGAATCCATGCTAGATAATACCTCAATATCCTGTCAGATTTATGAATGTACAGACAGGCAGCTCAAAAATCACAAATCCTGTAAAAATCCTGTTCTCGGTCCCTCTGTTTCAAGAAGTCATGTAAGTGTGTAAATAGACAGACACAGCTGTAAGGAGGAAAATGGATGACAATTCCAGTTTTGCTTTTTAAAACATGATAGTAGATTGCTAGTTATGGAAGAAGAATGTGTGTCATTTGTAACTCCCTTTTAAGGGCAAACAGACACAAAAAGGTTCCTGGGGGGACACACTTGTCTTTGTAACAGTGCCTGGGAACTCTCCAAGCCCAACGGTTTGGGGCCCTGGCAAGCAGATGAGGAAAAAAGCCAAGGCACAGGACTGCAAAGTGAAAATAACTTTCCCCTGACAGCAAGCTGCAACCTAGCAAGCAACAGGCCAGAGTCATCCTTTTGCATTAATGATATCCAGTGTTAATTATGATCCTTCTGAATAAAGTCAGGGTGCTGAACACATCAGCAGACAGTTGACATATTTTACATGACAGGCTATACTGGAAACTAAAATGCTACAGACATTTCAAGGTTGCTGCCTGTAAGTTCACCTCCTGAGTGCTGAGCTTAACAGGATTTACTTGACAGAACTTTCTTGCCAATTAACTTCATTAGTTGGCAGATACCAAGAAAGAAAAAAGATACTATTTTCTGTTAATTGCTGGAGGATAAACATGAGGTCTCAGAGATAGGTGAGACACTTTGTACTACCGCACCCCAAACAAAACCTTTCCTAGCAAACGCAGACAGCATTTATTAACAAAAACCATCTGCTGTGATTACTATCAATCTGCTTACCACTACCAATTCACTGCCCTCTCCTCTATTTTGATTGGGATTGCAGATTGGGTTACAAAATCTTACACTGAGTCAGTCTGTTTTAGTTACCAGGCAATGCAAGTGTGGGGAAGACAGGATGCTAGAAGGGCACAAACCCTGCCTGGAATGAAACACAGACACAGCTCTCCAGGCTCTTCTCTGCTTCCTCATCTTGTTCTTACCATATTTGCCTGTGCAAAGCCATCCGGTAATTGCTATGGTGATATGAAGTTGCCTTCCTTCAGTAAGTGGGAGGAATTCAAACTCTTCTATGGCTCCCACACGCTTCTTCATCTTGTATCCTACATACAGCAAGGCAGAAACACAAGTCAGAAATCACACAGCAAGGACAGACTGCTAACAGTAGAAGTTCCTAAGAATTTACTTGGGTAATTTGGAAAGGGATTTTTTTCCTTTCCAAAACCCTCAGGCAGTCCATGCATTATTTAAGAGCTTGGTATAGAGCCAGCTTGATCCTTCTGAGTTTGTGTGATCTGAGGGAATCCCAGCAGAAGGCTTCCTTGCTGCAGCAGACATCAGCTGAAAGAGCTGCTGCTCTCCATGGCAGCACCTTCCACAGCAAGCTTCCATTTCCTTACCCAGCCACACACCAACTATTCTTCTACTTGGTCATCGGGGGCTACACAGCATCTTAACCAGCATTGAAATACAAATGTCAAAAGTCTAAGATTACACCTCAAGTTGCTTCCCTTGCTCTGCAGAGCTCAGCTAAGTCATGAGCTCAGCATTAGCAGACATGACTCCCCCAGTGTAAGAAGGACACTGAGCTCCGGGAGAGAGGAGGCCACGAAGATGACCCAAGGGCTGGAGCAGCTCTGCTCTGGAGACAGGCTGGGAGAGTTGGGGTGTTCCAGTGTCCGGAGAAGGGAAGGCTCCAGGGAGACCTTAGAGCACCTTCAAGTACCTGAAGGGGCTCCAGGAAAGCTGGGGAGGGATCTGGGACAAGGAGTTGTAGTGAGAGGACAAGGGGGAATGGATTAAAACTGGAAGAGGGGAGACTCAGGTTAGACAATAGAAGTATATTCTTGAGTGTGAGGCTGGTGAGACACTGGAACAGGTTGCCCAGGGAAGCTGTGGCTGCCCCATCCCTGGAAGTGTTGAAGGGCAGGCTGGATTGGGCTTGGAGCAACCTGGGCTGGTGGGAGGTGTCTCTGCCCATGCAGGGGGAATGGAACTAGGTGATCTTTAAGGTCCCTTCCAACCCAAACCATTCCATGATTCTATGATCCTGTGCCTCAGTAATGAGCACTGTGTGTCTCTCCCTTACCAGTAAGTCCAGCTCCCGCTGCTCCAAAGAGTGATGCCATGACAGCAATCCCAGCAGTGGAACCTAAGGCAGCTGCTCCAGCACTTCCAATGATAGTAGCAGCTCCTGCAGCAACCAGAGGGGCAGCCAGACCCCCTGTCAAGCCTGAAGATGCAACAAATGATATCACTAAATTATCACCTACAAAATCCAGGCAGTCCTTGCCCTGTGCTTTGAGTCCTGCTAAGGCTCCGAAGAGAGAACAAATGTTGGGTTTTTTTCCATCACCAACACAGGGCCTTTCTGAGATCCTCCTCAGGCCTCTGCACAGATTCTTTGACCGATTTCAGTAAAAAAGAAGAATAATTTAAAAGTGAAAGGAAGGATGTGTGGTAGCCTGGGGTGAACTATGCCCTGTTTGGTTAGGAAACATTGATCTGGTCTCAAACTATTTTGAATTTAGATTTGAAGATCTGATCCCCTTATAACACAAGAGCAAAAGAGAAGAAAACATTTTTTAAGGGTGATGACCTCACCCTTTAGTATTTCCCCCAGGAAGTGAAGCTACACTGGAATAACCTTTCTAGCTAATTCTTTCAGTTTTATTTTTTTGTGGTGGAAAATACTTTCCTTAGACTGGGGGTCTCTCCTGCTGGTTGTGGGTTATGGGGTGGGTTTTTTTGGTGTCTGAAGTGACATCCTACTTTCAGCCTGGTAAATTTAGAGTTTGGGCTAAAAGGGGTAATGGCTTCTGTTGCTGAAGGTGTAGTTCAGACACCTTCCCCTTTGACCCCAGTGCTGTGCATGTAATTCAGGAGTCTCCAGAATGCCCAAGGCAGCCTCACCAATCACTGTTCCTCCTCCAACAGTGGCCAAACCAATCAGCAGGCATCTCTTCAGCTTTTTGCTTCTTTCCTTCTTTTTTCTGGATACCTCTGCAGTTCTGTGGGGGGATTAAGAGCAGAAAAACTGATGGAAAAAAAGCCTGAGGGATACCAGTGCTGCATCACCATCTGCTTGGATTCTCCTCAGTATAATTTCCCTACTGGGAACAGTAAAAAGTAACATGCAGGTGTGGACTGTGACAACACACTCACATTTATGAGCATGGACATAAACCCACAGATTTAATTTGAAACTATTTAATTGCTGACAAAAGCCAACAGATGTTACTTACTTCGAAAACCCTTCCTAATAAGGCTGAAGCTTGTAAAAAAAGAAAAAGAAACAAGAAGTCAAAAAGCACTTCAATAACTATTTACTGCCCATGTGTCTTAAAAAACCCACAAGAAAGCTAAGTGGAAACAGGGGAAAGTGTTTGAAACAAAGGGAATAAGGGGTAATTTGTGCTAACAGAGAGATGGAATCAAACGGTTTTCCAACAACAGTGTATATATTCAGCTGCTTTCTAATTGCACCTCACAATAGAAGAACATAATCAGTATTAAACACAGTCATTAGTTCATTTGTCTGTGTGCATTTCAGCTACATTTTAACAAACTTACCAGAAACAGGTAAATAAACTACAAGGCACAAATGTCACTTATTAGGCACTGCTGTTGGCTTCTCTCCACTGTCTTGGGTTTCTCTCTTATCAGAAATACTTCCCACTTCAGAGGAAAGTGCAAGAAACAGAGGATACGGGAATAAGTTATTGACAGAGGAATGTTCCTCTCAGCCTGCTTACACAGCAATTAATCTGGGCCTTGAAACATGAGAGTTTATCTTGCTTCCAAACTTGGATATTTTCCCACTTAAATCCTAGCTTAATTGTGGATTCTAATTATCCAGATAATTGCCTAATCCTTCCCAGAACCCCCTAAGGGCACTGTAATTTTGATAAAGACAATTTGAGATGAATCCCAAACAATGTGCAGCTTTGTCAAACACAGCAGGAGGAGAATGAAGCACAGTGGGTGAAATCCCTGCACTGCTGGAGTCAATGGCAGAATTCCCACTGATTCACACACTCTCTCCACAGAGATCATCCAAAAAAGCAGGGTGTGTTACCTTCTGCAGCAGCCAATGGAGCTGTCTGCTGAGAAGAAGAGTGCAGGATATGCAGGAGTTTGTGCGTGCAGTCACCAATCTGAATGCCTGGCTTTGGAAAAATTCCTCCTGGAGTTGCTCAAATAAGTGCTGCAGTCTGACTGTCAACAGCTGTGTTGGCAATACCCAGGAGTTTCTGTTCTACAGAGGGTTCACTGCTTTTGTAGCCAATGTGCTCTTGTCTTGGGCTGAAAATGGTGACATTGGGAGAGCTGGAATATGGCTAGAATTATAGAATGGTTTGGGTTGGAAGGGACCTTAAAGATCATCTAGTTCCAACCCCCCTGCATGAGCAGGGACACCTCCCACCAGCCCAGGTTGCTCCAAGCCCCATCCAACCTGCCCTTGAACACCTCTAGGGATGGGGCAGCCACAGCTTCCCTGGGCAACCTGGGCCAGGGTCTCACCACCCTCACACCAAAGAATTTCCTCCTCATGTCCAACTTCAATCTCCCCTCTTCCAGTTTTAATCCATTCCCCTTGTCCTCTCACTACAACTCCTTGTCCCAGATCCCTCCCCAGCTTTCCTGGAGCCCCTTCAGGCACTGGCAGGTGCTCTAAGGTCTCCCCGGAGCCTTCTCTTCTCCAGGCTGAACAAGCCCAGCTCCCTGGCTGCCCCATCCCTAGAGGTGTTCAAGGGCAGGTTGGATGGGGCTTGGAGCAACCTGGGCTGGTGGGAGGTGTCCTTGCTCATGCAGGGGGTTGGATCTAGATGATCTTGAAGGTTCCTTCCAACACAAACCATTCCATGATTCCATGATTCTCTGATCCTTGGGCAAAGAACAAGATTGAAGTCCATGGCTTTTGCCTCACCAGCTATGCACAACCCCCACTGAGCTGGCTACAGCCTCATGCCTGTAAGTAGGCAGTGTAATTTTCTGCTCACTATATTTTTGGGTTGTGCCACAGGAGCCAAAGTCTGGCTGGTACAGAATTGGTCTCTTTGCAGGTGACACCCCATTCTCAGCACCATTGTCTTTCTCCACTCAAGGCTCAGGATAAAGTTTATTTCCACAAGCCACAGCAAAACGGTCTCCATTAATACCAACCCTTGCTCCTGCATACCAAACACTGTCCTGTTTAGCAGTCCTGATCTTTGAGATTATTTTGACTTTCCCTTTTTACAGTGTGCTATAAAGTTAAGCTTTGTTCAAATGAACTTCTAACTGAAAGACACCCATCACATGCTGAACACCCTGGTAACATCTGAACTGCTCTGTGTCAGGGACATTGATTAAAGGCTTTATTAGCACCTGGGTTAATCTCACAACCTATTTGCTGAGTTGACAGATAAAAATATTAAACGGTCCCTTGAAAGTCCACTATGGCCATGTTTACTTCCTTCCAATTGCTTAATCTTCACACAATTCCTGCCTGATAAGTGGAATGTAAAACCACTACATTTCTTTTGGCTGTTTCACATCTAAGATCTGGTAATTAAAATAATTAATCTTATATTCACAACACAGAACTAGAAGTCAGTCCCATAAAGATCTAAAGATGTACATTGTTGCCCTCAAGACCTACCTCCAACAGGAGTTAAGACAGGATGCAGAAGATAGATCCACAGAAAATGAGCAGCTGAGGATCTAATCCTGAAATGTATAGGAACTTGGTTCTGCAAGAGGGAGTTCTATTTGAATAACATTGGGCCAAAAGATAAAAGACATGAGATCTTTGTGGTGTGTTAAAGCATAATCTACAGTCTCAGAGAGGCAACAAGGAACAAGGAAGTGAAGTAGTTCAGCCCAGAGCAGCCTTTGCCAGCTTGTAAGGTTGGGTCTCAGCTCTGGTTTTAAGAGTGTTGTGAGGGTTCTGCAACCCTAATTAAGCTATAAATGATTACACTAAGAGCCATGGGGGGAATGATCAGAGACTGGACTTAGGCACAAGTAATTACTACAAAACTTTCCAGCACCAGCAGTGTTTTTTTATCCCATAGTCAACACAAATGTTCTTACTCAGACTCTTCCTCCTTTTGTTCCCTCAGGTTCTCAAGCAGCGATTCCTCCAGGGCTTTCAGCTCCTCCAGGGGGATTCTCAGCAGCCAGGTGATGTGGCAGATCAACACCCTTGCTCGAGCATCATAGTACCCTTAAACACAAGGAAGCCCAAGAAATCAATTAGTGCTTGTCACACCAGATGAAACATCAAGTCGTGCACTCAGCTGTGCTGGAGGAACACGTCACCCACAGGCACAGCTCCTTCCCTCAGGCCCTCTTCATCTTCCGTCTACCTGAAGACAACTATTATCTAGAGAAGAGTGTGATAAATGGGAAAACCTTCATCCATGCAAACCTCATCCTGTGAACAGTCACTGCACCAAGTAATTGCCTTTTATAGCAGAAAAAGGATCTCAAAGCCTTTGGTCTTTATCCTCTGTGAGAGAGGCGTTCTGGCTCTGGAAAGGATGCATCTTCTTCTCAACAGAGAAATGCAGCAAGGCCAGATCTAACTGGAAATATCAAACATATATATATATGTATATATATATATATCACTCAGCTGTGCTGGAGGAACACGTCACCCACAGGCACAGCTCCTTCCCTCAGGCCCTCTTCATCTTCCGTCTACCTGAAGACAACTATTATCTAGAGAAGAGTGTGATAAATGGGAAAACCTTCATCCATGCAAACCTCATCCTGTGAACAGTCACTGCACCAAGTAATTGCCTTTTATAGCAGAAAAAGGATCTCAAAGCCTTTGGTCTTTATCCTCTGTGAGAGAGGCGTTCTGGCTCTGGAAAGGATGCATCTTCTTCTCAACAGAGAAATGCAAGCAAGGCCAATCTAACTGGAAATATCAAACATATATATATATGTATATATATATATATATGGGTGACATGACATAGTACATCTCAACAATGTAGCAATGAAAGACATAGTATCTTGTAAAAATGCACCTCCAGGCAAAAGTTTTATATTCAGCTTATCTTTTTGGCAGCAAGAGGGACTCTGGAGGTTAAAACTATACACCAGCTGACCTAGCAGCAACACAGACCATTGCTTGCATTTCTACTTCACTGTTGGAGATGCAGGAGTGGACAGTGCACTCAGACAACAGGAACAGGAGAAACAATTACTCCTATGCTTATAAGCAGGTGTTCTTAAAGGAAAAACATTTAAAACTGAATGGATTTTAAATTATTTGTGCCTACTCTTGCTTTTTTAATGCATTTCTCTGAGGCACCTGCTGCTTGTTGATCATAGGCTTTTGTAAAAGGTTCTTGGTGCACTCTGTTGCAACTGTTTTTCTAGGAGGGGTGAAGATACCAGCAAGATCCAACTACAGAGCCTGTTTCTGATTCCCACTGCACGTAGATCAAGTGTGGCTCTTGGCAATCTGTTGTTGATTTATTTATTGCCACCATTACCAAGATACCAAATTACTTTTGTGGGCTTTAATGAGGCCACTTTTAAAATCTGTCCTCAGTTGAGAAATCAGGATAGTGTTTATCTTCACTTCATCCCTGACATGTGCCACATCTTGCAAGCCCAAGCAGGTGTTTTAATGAGCAGCCCTTTTTCTTCCTGTCTGCTAAGACACAACTTTGCTTTCTCTTGGCACTAAGTCAGTGAAGTTTGAAAATTTATTTCTTTTCAATTCCAACTTAGCAAAATAAGCAGTTTTGCAATAACTGACTTGTCATTTTTCCATTCAAAATAAAGCAAAGAAGAAAAATGGTTCTTTTTTCTGCAGGGAAACAGGCTAATCAGCAACCAGCAAGTTCTATCCTGTGAGAACATGTTAAAACACAAAGACTTAAAAAATGCAAGTAGGGGTATAAAAAAGGTTTATTTTAGAAATGAGCGTTTTGTTCAGTAGGAAGTCTTTATTTCAGTATTTTTATCAGACTAACCCATGTTATGGATTGTAAACCAGGAAATTGTTCTATGCATAATACATTCTATTAGTAAAATCACCTTTATTTATAATAGGTTGCACAGGACACTCTGGAATTTATTCTCTGATTATTTATATTTTTTTTCTTTTTAGGCAACTGCATTAAAAAAATGCTAGGCTGAGATTTTCATAACAGCTTCACTACCTTTCTAAAGGAAGAGGTGGCCTCCAGCCCTGGAAACACTGGAGAAAAAACACTCCAGTTTAATTACTTCACTTCAGAAATTTTCTACATACATTTGCATGCTAATACCTGATGTGAAGGTAAGGAGGTGATCAGTTGTTCAATTTTAAACAGGTATTTTATTAATTATTCCTAATGTAATAGTTGCTTTTCCTGCAGTGAATGCAGAGAAGGAGTGTGCTGCTTTTGTTATAAAGGAAGCTAAGATAAAATAGAATGGTAGCTTGAGCTTTTTTGAGGATTTTAAAGTATCAGACATAAACTCATCTACATTATTCTTACAAAGAAGAAATGCTATATGAACTTACCATCTCTAAGACAGAAGGATAGAAGGTCCTAAAACAAGGGAAAAAAAAATAAATTCAAGTTTAAAATTACGATGTACGCCTGGAGGTACCAAAATGGAGGCATCAAAACCCACTGGGCTATAACTACAGTACTGCAGCATGTCAGTTCATGAACACAGGAAGCCAGCATGGCAGCACAGAGCAAACCCAGATGTTTCCAGTAAAAGATTCTCCATACGCAGGTGCAAACAGCTGGTGAGAAGCACATAATGCTTGGGATATGCTGAAGCATCCCATATTTTTTGTTACCAGACATCCTGTTTTAATTATCAAAGCACCATGATTACACTGGACTTCAAAGTTTGGAGAAACAGGGCTTCTCCTACCACTCAAATGCCTTCTGCTCACTATACAGCCACATATACTCTTTATTTTCAACGTAAGTAACAGGTTTCAGTGCTGCTCGCATGGACCAGATTCCAAATCTTTGGAATTCCGGGAAGGCTTGAACTGGTGTGAAGTTCTTTTGGATTAAGTGCTCAAAAATAGAAAACTCAGAATTTATCCATCTGTCAAGATTGAGGGACCTGACTTCTGTGTTGGCTCTTCACCACTAAAAAAATCAGAAAAGCAGGTCAATGAAATAGATGGTTTCTGTGGACAAATCCATGGAAAAAAAAGGCCAGTGTTTCTACTGCAATATTCTCCTCTTTTATTGTCACTGGATAGATTTTAAGTTATTTGTGTAACTACAGCATTAAGCACTAGCTCAGTGTAGCTACTTCCCTCTCCTACACACAAATAAAGCACAGCTGAATTTTACAGGGAATCCTTCTGCCCTTTGAGAGCACAAAAAAATGCAGCCAATAATGTAGGATGCTGCCAGAGAGTTTATTATTATTAGTCCCATAAGCAACTAGGCAAAATTTGTATTGTAAAAATGTCTCTGATCTTTTCCTTGCTGCACAAGAACTGCAGAACAGAGAACAAGCCACCCCTAACCAACTCCTACTAGAAAAGGGGCAAATTGTAAATATCTGAGCAAAAGTAAGTGCCTGGACTCTGAGTATCATTTTAACATGAGCAAATTCTGCTATTTCATAAAGGAGGAGAGAGTTTTTTGCATAGGAGTGAGGAAGCCAAAGGATTAGGGCAGCTGAAATCCCCTCTATGGCACTTTTTCCACAAGGTATAGCCCAAAACCTTCACTTTTCCGCTGCCCGATGTTCACACACACACACAAAAATCTCTGATGCTGAATATCTGGCTGGCTGTTCCCATCCCCAGGGAAAGCTGCCTTTAACTTGCCTGTCCTGCAGGGCCAAGTGGGATAAGCATTTGCAGAAGGTATCTGGTGGGCAGGGCCCTGCACCAAGCGGCCACCACTGCTCCTCCATCCTGCATCCCAGTGGTCAGAGTGCTCACCCAAGAAAGGAAGGTCCTGGTTTCCTCTCTCCAGTGTGTAAATAACCCTTTTAATTTAAGTTAATCACTCAATCAGGTCTCCTCAGTATCCCTGATCACCATGCTACAGAAAAAAAAAAAAAAGGGCTTCCTTCTAGGTCTGGACATGATTAGTATTCTGCGCATGCACACACACTGCAGATGATTCTCCAGGGTGGTTGGTGGGAATTGGAGACATTAATCCACACAGGGAGAAGGAGGAATATAACTGGTTTCCCAGAGCCCCAGGTACTGTAACAACCCAAGTATTAGATATTTGGGCATCATCACCTCCTCCCTGGCTGCAGTTTGGTAAGGAAGGCTTGGCATGGAGGTGTCAAAGCTCAGCAGAAGGTGCTGGGCTGGGAGTCCTAGGCAGAAAGTTGGCCAAGCAAAAAGCCTGAAGTCTAGAATATGTTGAAGCTTGTGACCTTGTTGCCATACAGGGACTAATTAAATCAACCTCCTTAACCAGGTTACTGGTTTGTGCAGAGCTCCTTTGCAGGCAATAAACTCTCCCTGTGTGTTTCAAAGGGAGTGTGGGTCCTGCACAACATGCCCAGTATTGTCTGTGGCACCTAATAGCAAATAACCCATTTTAAAAATCTGGCCTAAGCATTTCAAAAGGTGAGGGATGGATATAGGTAATCAGGTGATAAACTGGAATTACTGTTTTTATTGCATCTGTCCCAGTTAGCACTTTCAGCTATTTCTAATTGGTTTAGGTTTTTGCATGTTCTGCTGTGCAGTCATCTGGAATGCAATCAGCATTGAGTAGATGAGTTCACAAGTAGTTTGTTTTCTTCCTCTGAGCAGTAGTTATTACATTTCAGTCTTACTTTGAAGTTGGTGTTTTGAATCCCCCTGTGAACTCTCTGTATTACTACCCATATGATTGAGAAACCTAACAAAGGGAAACAACCTTTATTCAGTCCTTGTAAGCTTCTATGAATTGCTGCAAGTTCAAAACCCATTTCCTCAGCAACAGGGCACATTCAATCCACATCACAGTGGATGTGTGTAGAAAAACACAAGAAAATGGAGATTCAAAGTATGTTGAGAGAAAAAAATATATTAATAATAAGAACTTTCAACGTTTTCTCACCTCTCATCACTTTACCTCTTTTTGTTGCACTGCTTTCTCACACCACACCCACAGCCTATGTTATGATTACTGTCCTTTAAGGGTTCAGTTAACCAACATTTGCCTGTGTTAGTCATTTGCAATGAATGCAAACAAAGATAAAAATCCCTAATCCTCAAATTTTCATCAACTCAATGGTGAGCTCAGCTCTAATCTCCTGACCTCATGTATTACCCCTTCAGCATTGGGGAGATGGGGGCATGCAGAAATGCAGGCACTAGTGCTGACAGGACCCTGTCACTGAAGACACTGAGCAATTCAAGTGTGTATTTGTTAATTAAACATTAAATGTTGCATCACAGAATCACAGGATCATCATGGTTGGAAAGGATCTCAGAGATCACCAAGTCCAACCATCAGCAGAAAAAAAAATAAAACCCAAACACAGACAATCACACACTCCACCAGAAAAGACCAAATAAACCCAAACAAAACACCAAAAACCCAAATAATAAAAAAGCAAAACAAAAAAAACCCAAACACCAACAAAACAAACCCCTATAACTTCAGCCACTAGAGCATGCCCTGAAGTGCCACATCTACATGTTTCTTGAACACTTCCAAGGATGGTGACTCCACCACCTCCCTGGGCAGGCTGTTCCAGTGCCTGACCACTCTTTCAATGCAGAAATTCTTCCTAATATGCAATCTAAGCCTCCCCTACTGCAGCTTCAGGCTATTTACTCAGGTCCTGTTGTTATTTACCTGGGAGAGGCCAACACCCATCTCCCTACAACCTCCTTCCAGGTAGTTGTAGAGGGCAATGAGGTCTCTCTTCATGCTCCTCAAAGTTCCCTCAGCTGCTCCTCATATGACTTTTTCTCCAGATCCTTCACCAGCTTGGTAGGTCTTCTCTGGACACACTCCAGCCCCACAATGTCCTTCTTGTAGTGAGGGGCTCAGAACTGAAGACTGTGCTCGAGGTACAGCCTCACCGGTGCCCAGTACAGGGGGACAATCACTTCTATATTCCTCCTGACCATGTTGTTCCTGATCCAGGCCAGGATGCTGTTGGCCTTCTTGGCCACCTGGGCACACTGCTGGCTCATGTTCACCCAGCTGTCAACTAGCACCCCCAGGTCCTTTTTTGCTGGGCAGCTTTCCAGCCACTCCTCCCCAAGCCTGTATTGTTACCTGGAGTTGGTGTGACCAAAATGCAGGACTTGCCACTTGGCCTTATTGAACCCCTCAGTAGCTGCTGAATACAAAGAAGCAAAAGCACCATACAGCAACAGATCAGGAATTCACAAAGCTTTGTCCCATAGCTATTTATTTCCAGTTAAGAAAGAAAAAGCTGATCTCAGGTTGATACACTGAAGTTTTCCACAGGCCAGCATGCCTTCCCAAAGACACCTTGCAAACCTCTGCTGCCTTGCTCTACAAAAGCCTTTCACTCTATCTTTCCTTTGATAAAATCAGTCAGTACACATGACTGCATAAGGTATTGATGTTGTGGCATTAGGCTGATAGCTGTTCCTGATCTTTGCTTTCAACTTATCAAAGAGTTGTTATCTGTGGTTTCTGTATGCCACCTGAATCCAGGTGGCAAGTGCCTCAGTTCTCTGGCTCAGAGCACAGATCCAAGGCTGCTCCTGTAAAAGCACAAGGAGACTTTATGCAACACAAGCCTGGCAAGCATGAGTTAAATTTCACCAAAATCTCACCCTTAAACTCATCAGCAACACAAGATATGCCTAATTCTAGAGGATCCATCCTGAAGCAGAGAATGAGGGAAACAACCTGGGAAATATCAAACGATGTAACTGCAGAAAGAACCAAGTGTGGACATAGTGATTTGAGCCAACAAAAATCAGAACAATACAAATTAGTCCCAGTCTCACAAATTCTTTCTCAGTGAAAGAAAAAATCACAATAACTTCCTACCAAAGTCAAAGCTGACTCTGGAAAAAACACTCTGAGAATTGTGCTGTTTGGAGCTTTGTGTTTTGTATCACAGGGGCTTTGAAAAAGATGAAATCAGGTCTATCATGTTCAGTGTTTCACCAAAATCTGTAGAATTATAGAATCGTTCTGGTTGGAAAAGACATTTAAGATCATTAAGTCCAACCATTAACCTAACTCTACTAAGTCCAGTGCTAAACCATGTCCTTAGAATGCACATAGAAACAAAAAAGAACACACATATGAAACAAAATGACTGCAAGTATACAGTAAAAGTCAAAAGTTTGACAGTTGTTTGTTCTGTAGAGCGAAAGCAGCAGTCACAAGAAGTTAATTCAACAGAGTAACTGTGCCTGAACTTCATTGCTTCCATGTGCTGCTAATGGGTGGAGAGACTGCCAGTCACCCACTCAGCTGCTCAGAAATACAGGCATATCAGAAATGTCAATTTTACTTCCCTGACTGTACAAACAGACATTCAGTTGCAAAGAGACATATAGGAAAAATCTCTTTTGCAAAAGCAAACAAGGGCAAAGGGAGTGGATGAACTTACTTGGGTAATGACAACTGGATTTTCTTTCAAGGTGGGATCCTTCAGCAAAATCTGGACAAAAGTTTCTGTGCCCTCACCTCCAAAGCCACTAGCAAATGCTGTCATGGCAGGTAAGACAGCTTCAGGCAGGTCCAGCCATTTCACAAAGCCCTCAGTGAATTCGGTCCTGAAGGAGCTGTAAGGCAACAGCAGCAATTAAGGCTCCATAACTGGGTCTTTTTGCAAGTTTTGAGTGGTCCCTGCTTTCAAATACTGATCTCTTGCTGCTCCCACAAAAATAAAAGCATGGTAAGAAGTCAGCAGAAGGTGAGTTGCTACACAAGCTGGCTAAACAAACAAGTAATATGAACAGGGCCAGCCCCTGCTTCAGTACATGCTCTGAAGTCTGAAGTATTAAGGATGCAATTTGTGCCGAAGCGTAAAACTCTTAAAGGTGTAAGAGAGAAAGTCAATTCAATGAATACCTAATGCTCAAAGGATCTTCCACTCCCCTCACTTCAGAAGCCCCCACAGGGAGTCCCACACCAGCTCTGTCTGAGCTGCTCTCCAAAAGCTACCCTCTTTGTTCACCCCATGCTGTACCTTTGCTCATCCTCAGGGAAGAGCCACGCCAGGGATATCGCACAGAGTGCTGCATAAGCAAACCTTCCCGCTTCAGCCAGCTGCCGGCCCAGGGGCACCCACAGCTCCTGTTCACCTGCCCCTTCAGCCTCCCTGGGCTGTTTAGAAGCCAAACTTTTCCACTTCTCCTCTGCAGCCATTTTTTCCTGCAAGTTCAAAGAGGAAAAAGCAGAAGAAAAAACAAACAACAAACCGTTGGAAATCAGGAAGCAAGGACACAAATTTCTTTTTTGCTGTCACACTTGCTGTCAATATCAAATCAAGTCTGGCAAGATCCAGCTTGTGCATCCCCCCCAACACAGTGCTGTGACCAAAGAAGGCAACAGGAGTGTTCCTGTTCACCAGTTCTCAAAATTTTTATACAAAAGGGTCCAACAATACTTCACACAGCAGGAGAAGTCCCCCTTGGGATGTGAAGAGGCTGGGCTCTGCTTGGCCATACCAGTCATACGTTTACCACAGAAATAACATGTAGAAAAAAGCTTTGCATCTGGTGCAGGGACCAGCACAACTGCCTGGGTAATCATTTGCCTCTCATCCTCAACCCAAATTGCTCATCTGCTCATGTTGCTGACAGAATTAAGAAGGCGAGTCCAGCTGCAGCCTCTGCTGAGGAAGACTTTGAATGTGTCCCACGGACATTGCTAAGCTGCGCTTGTCACATTCATTCCTTGTGCAACCTGCTGCTGCTTTTTCTCTAAACACACGATTCCTGCACCACATGGACCTTCAGCTGGGCCAAGATATTATTTTTTTTCAGAGGGCAGACATGTACACTTCCAACTGAACAGCTTCTAACTGCTCTCTGGAGCTCCCCTGATGACACAGGCGACCAACCAAATGACTGAAATCAGGCAGATGTGACACTAGCTCCTTTTGCAATTCAACATGGGTAACAATCTGCTCCAAACCTTGCTTGTAAGCTTACAAGAAACCTGAAGTTTCTACTGACTTCATCAAGATCCAGTTGGTTTCTTAAAAGTCAAATTACTTCATTACATACTTTATATTTCAATGTTTCCTTTCTTCGGAGCCCTGTAGAAAGTGGCTACATAGGAATTAGGAGCCCATGACACTACAGCTGAGTCTCAGAGGATGCAGACACCATTTATAGGATAGTTTGAGAGTCCTGGAAGACAAAAAGACAGCCCAGGAGCAGCTCTTTTTAAAGAGATGTTACTACCTGCATGCCATCTGTCATGGTCTTGCAGGGCAGGTATCTGCTTTCCTGCTCAGACATTTATTTGAAGAGATTTGTATTTCTCAAGGCTTGCACTCTTTAGCTGCTGATGTGTAAATGCAAAGAAAATTCACACTGGAGGGCTTGCACCTCTCTCCTTGAGTGAGCTCAGCCCCCCACAAGACCCATCTCCTGATTCTGTCCATGGCTTAAGCACACAGGTTTAAGGCATCTCGGCCTGTTTCCATGGAAACACCACATTCCAGCAATAAGGGAGCACAAAGTCCAAAGAAATAAACTCTGCTATTTCTGTACGAACCAGAGAAAGGAAGGGCCAGATTAGGCTTCCTAAGGAAGAGTGGGTATCTGGGATCAATCCCAGACCCAGTACCAACCACAACTACCAGCAGAATTTATACCTGTGAATGGCAGCCTTTGTGCTTTCCAGGACTTCCTTACAGTATCCTAAGATTGTTTTATTACCTCAGATGCTCCAAACCCCTTATTTGGATACCCAAGATCCATTTCACATCACTCAACAGGCTCTGATCTTCCTAAACCATATAGAATGATGGACCAATCTGCCCAGAAATAATCTAATGCTTAAAGTTTCAGTAACATTACAAACAATAAATTCACCTCTAGGCACGGATTTATTAACTTATTATGGGAGACAGCATTGAAAATAAATCCCCTATTGATTTGTTAGCAGAGGCTCGTAAGAAAAGTGAAACAGCTAAAAGAATCCAGAAAAAGGACAGCTGTTTAACCTTGTTTCACAATAAAATTAAAGATGTGACCAATTATGTAGTGACACCATAGTGGCTTCTTGCATGCAACTTTACTGCTGTTCTGCAACAAGTAATTCACAATGCTGAGCAGCAAGAATACCCTGAGAAAAAAATGTAAAGTCTTTCTTTGCTCTGAAGATGCTCTGATCAGTACATTCCATGTGCATCCCTCAGCACAGGCATCTATTTCTTCATAAACACCTAGGAAAATATGGGCTTGGATTTTCACATGCAGCATAAAAAAATTTCCATCATGCAATTCAGTAAAGAAAATTGAAGCCAAGAAATCTTGTTACTAAATCCAAGATTAGGAAATGTGAGAGCTATAAATATATCCCAAAAGTTATTTACGGCTCGTGGCACTGGAGTTCCTGTCTGTGTCCCAAACAATACAATTCAGCAATCAAAAGCATTGCCATGATCGGAACTGTCACTTGAACAAGACCTTTTTTTTCATCACTTTCAGTGCTCACTTTTCACACAAAGCCCTTTGTCTTCTTGAGAGGTGGTGTATTTTATACGGAGGCTCCCAAACTCCTGTTTGAAAGTGGAAAGATAAACCTTTCATGGATCTAAAGCTGTACAATACACATGTGCTCCCTACTACTGGAAGAATTAGAGATGCTGGCATCACATTCATCCTAAACAATGACAAAAGTGACCTGACACATTCATCTCTGAGACCCTCCAAAGTTAATGAGGCAACTCATCAACTTCAGAGAAGTAGTCATAGATAACTATTCAGATAGGGCTGGCCAAAAACTCCCTTACCAGGGAAAACCAGAGGATGGCATGGCCAAACTGCAGTTAAAACATCAGACTGAGAAACATTTGGGCAGTTTTCTTGGGGATTTGCACAAGGCTCCAGACCCACACACATCCTTAGACGCTGGGAGAGCCATGGCCTTTGCTTTTAATCCATAGATACCAAATATGAACATGGAATGCAATTAATTCAGTCATGGATAAAATAACATCTTCCCACAAAACCATGTGAATGTGATACAGGCAGCTGCTGCAGAGATGTGTGCTCAATGTAAAACAGAGATCAGGGACTGAGGGGATAGGGAAAAACTAAAAGCTTAAGTAGCTACAAAACTGAGCGTGTTTGAGTTGGTTGATCCAGACGAACAACACCTGAGAGGCGATGCCAGGACACAGAAGGCGAGCAAAGCTGCGGAGAGGGACGTCGCCAGCAGAGAGAAATGGACAAAAAAGAACGTGAAGGAAACACCTCAGCTGGGAAAGCTGTGAGAAATTACATCACTTTTGCCTCTAGCCTTTTCCGTTTGACATCTCTGCTGGTAGAATACAGGGATTTATTTATTTTTTTGTTACAGAAACTAGCCTTTTGACAACTCCTGCGTAACCCGGCAGCAGGCCGGACGCTGCCACAGCCCTCCCTTCAGGGAGCGGCCTGAGGAGAGGGGCCTGCCCGCCCCTCAGCCCGCCGAGCTGCACCCCAACCATTCCCAGCCCTTCTTCCCACCTCTCCCAGCCTTTCCCAGCTCCGACCTGCTGCCGGCGCGGCCTCAAGACAGAAGCCGCCGAGTTCCCTTCCGCCACCGCCCCTTCCTGACGGGCAGTTCTTGGCCCTTCCCGCCGCCAGTGCGCAATTTGCGCACATTGCGCACTCTGCGCAGGCTGCCCTGGGCTTCTCGCTCTCCCCCCTGCTCTACGCCATTGGCGCAGGGAGGCGCGGCGGAGCCGGCTGGGCTGAGGTGATAGCGCGGGAGGGCGGCCCCGGGCTGACCCTTATCTGGCTCCCGGCCCTTCCCCGAGGGTGGTGGCAGGTCCATCCCCACCCTGAGGTGGGTATAGCTGCTGCTTCGTCGCTGCCCACCGGTATCTGTGTGCCGCGTTGGTAGAGCATTCAGGGTTGAGGCCTACCTGAGTCCTGGCCCTTTTGCCCCTTTTTAAGCCCCCTCTTCGCCTTGTGAGAGCTCCTGTTTGGTGGAGCTATTCTCAGGTTGCTGTCCCAAGGCTTCTTTGCCACCTCCACGCAGGACAGGTTGGTGTGTCTGAGGGTTACCCTGAGGAAAACTAAAGCTTCAGTGGTGTCTTTACACTTGATGCTGTGTGACTGTGTGGGGTTCAAAAGCCATATGAACAGAAGCTGAAGTATGTGTATGTGTGTATATATATATTCACTCATCAGGCAAATATGAGGGCCATGTATGTGTTGCTCCTGATGACAGTGGGGTTAGTGACACAGCTCAAGAGGCTTTACTCTATTGTGGTTAATTGGCCATGCATAAATCCTACTAAGGCTTTGGAGTTCCAAGGTTCCTTGTAAAACAATCTGGGTACCAATTCTGTTTAAATTATTATTTTGATTTGGCCAAATATCTTGTCCTAGTTGCTTGCTGCTAATGTTAAACCCCTTAAATGTAGTCACACAGGTACTTATGTTGTGCATAGGTATTTTAAGCATCATCTTATGGTCATTCAGTGTGACACTGAAGTTCAGAAGGTGAGTTCTGTTGATCTCAGTTAGGATGCAGGAGGTATCTTCTCTACCTGGGTCTCTTTAGCTTGGAGAAAAGGAGACTGAGGGGTGACCTCATCAATGTTTACAAATATGTAAGGGGTGAGTGTCAGGGGGACGGAGTTAGGCTTTTCTCGGTGATGACCAGTGATAGGACAAGGGGTAATGGGTGTAAATTGGAGCATAGGAAGTTCAAGGTGAATATCCGAAAAAATTTTTTTACTGTGAGAGTGACAGAGCACTGGAACAGACTGCCCAGGGAGGTTGTGGAGTCTCCTTCACTGGAGACATTCAAAACCCACCTGGATGAGTTCCTGTGTGATGTACTCTAGGTGACCCTGCTCTGGCAGGGGGGTTGGACCAGATGATCTCTCGAGGTCCCTTCCAGCCCCTAAGATTCTATGATTCTATGATTCTATGATACCTGTGACCTGGGTAACTGCTCAACATGATGAACAAGCTGCAAATGGCTCACAACAAACAAAGAATCACCTGGACACAAATCTATTCTCGCAGACCAAGATCTGCAAATTAATTTATTGTAGCTTTGACAGTTCTGTGTTTGGGAACCTGAAGTTCTCTTTACTCAGGATCTGAGTGATGTGGAAGTGTGAAATGCTTTATTTGGTCCATGTTTATTTTTGCCTGTTTATATCTGTGTGATAATGCAGAAGAGCTATTAAAAGTGGAATGACACTTAGGAATGAGCTTTACCAGTTGTTGTAGGTTTGGGCCCTCATTATATAGTTTAATAGTAATCAAAGCCAGCACAATTATGGATAATTTAAAGTTCTGTAGATAAAGTGAGTTTTCTACATTTGACAGTAATTTTCAACACCTACACTCAATTTTTTTTTCAGGTACTTGTCTCACTCTTACATAAGTAATTGGGGACTGTGGTAGTGTTTTGTTGATGAGAAGCCTTGAGTAGGATTTGAGACAGGGAAAGTTGTGGCTTTGGGAAGCGCCCTGTGGGCAGAGGGGCAGAGTGGGAGCACAGCATGACAAAAGGATAAGCATATTTTTTAAATTTAAACTGCCTGGACCCATTTCTCATTATGAAGCTCTCTCTTTCAGACTGCAGTGTGTGTTACCTCATCCCTGTCCACAAACCAGGAACCACCACTAAAAGGTAGGCAGGGCAAGGTTATTAGGGGCTGAAACTTTCCTGCCAAAAAAAAGACTAGCATGAATTAAAATGAGTACAAGCAAATCCTCTACGTTTTGGAATAGGAACACAAACTTGTTGGCTTTTTCTTCATAAACTTAGTTGCTGCTTGAAAGGTTTACATTGTCATCCAGCCTTATCAGTTGAGAATCAATAGTTGGTATGAGGATATCAGGGTCCAGGGCCCAGTGACTCCCAGCAACATCCATGAGCTGAATTAGCTCCTGGAGGCTGAAAAAACATTTCAGTTGAAGTGCTGAATGCAGGCTTGGGAGGTACTGATACAAAGCAGGGGGGTTAGAAACCTGGGCTTCCACATAAATTGGAGTAATAAAATGGAACACACCCTTTTGGAAGGGCAGGGTGATAGGTAACAAACTGACTTTTCCTGTTCACATCCATTCTCCAATTTTACTTGTTCACACCCATGTGCTGACAAGCCCACAGGGCTGGCCAGGCTCCACTGCATGTGATCCAGAAGACAGGGGATACTGCCTCTGAAGTCTTTGTTGTGTTTCTTGACTGATGATCACAAACCAACACTAGGTGTGAGGCACACACCCTTCTGGATTTGGTGGTGTTTGGTATCTTGCATGGTCTCTTCCCTCTTAGGCAGAATTCCCCAAGTGTTATATTTTTTTAAAAAAATTTGGATTATTTTATGGCTCTAGTCCAGTTTACCTTTGTCATCTTATCTTTAGGACAGTCTGTTTCTCTCTTGCTACGTGGTCACTTGAATGACACTGGTGTTCTTTAGCAATCAGCACATCATTTTGCCTTAACCCATCTATCTTAGCTATGCACTGATGCACTCTGTGCAGGCCAATATTCATATATTTGTTACAAACCTCTACAGTACCAGTCACCCACTAGTGCTGGTGATGGGAACTTGACAGGAAAATTGTGAGCTAAAAGCCTTGGCAAGAGTTTCTTAAAATCGCTTTCAGCACACATGAATATCCTGCCCAGTTTGGGTTTAAAACTACCTGCCTTTTCCCAGCTGAAAAGCTTCTTCCTGGTTGGTTATTAGTAAATGTTACCACCTCTGCAATAAGCCAAGTTGCTGTCCAAATAAATGAGAAAAAAACCCAAAGTGTTTCTTTCCCTTGAAGGTTGGTGTTCTTAGGCAGAAAACAAACCTGGTTTTTGCAAGGCTCCAGAAGGACAGCAGCTCCTTGCCCTCTTCATCTAATCTGTTTTATCTAGTGGTGGGGCACTAAGTGTATTTATATACTGAGCAACTGGAGTACCTCAGTTTCCATTCTTATCAAACACAAATATTTGCCACAGGCCTGATCCAAGGTCTCCTGAGACCCATGGTACTCTTAAAAATGTAACTTAACTAGAGCAATCCCCCAGGTTTTTTCCAGTTTAGTTTTAGTTGGGTTATAGGGCATTTTCTTGGCAACTAAGTGGTTTTTTTTTTCAATATAGGAAAAGACCAGCATATCACTCTGATCTCCTCAGTTGTGGAGACTCCCTAAAATTCTTTCTTAGGTGTAGTTCTTGTCAGTGAGGAAACTATGAAGTGTTTTGATATTGTTGGTGAGGAACTGAAATACAGAAGTCAATAAGCAATTAAACTTTAATGGACACATTCCATATAAAAATAGCACACGTGGTATGGCATAGAACAGATTGCTGTTTAACTCTCTGGGCCTCTTATTTAAAGAGGACGAAAGAGAGGCAGTGCAGGTGGCCAGGTACAGGAGTCCAGGTGAGAGGAATTGGTTCCATGATAAATAACATGGGGAATGTGGAGGGTTGTGAGCTTTGGAGAGCCTGGCCCTCTGCAAACCACAGACTCACAATGAGCAGTGTTGATTTTGCCTCTTCCTTACCAATTTCTTGGGTAAAATGGCATCAACTCATATCCCCTTTTCCCAGTCCCTTCCCCATCCCTGCCAACAACCATTTGGGCAGTGAGAGGGATCAAAGTGATAACCTGGATTGCAACTACTCTGTTCCCTTGAGGCTCAGCACCAAGTCACTGACTGGGCAGTCTGATACCCCACATTGTCAGGAGAAAAGGTGTACATGTGTTAAGGGAGTGGAGAAATGCAACCACAGCTAGGGGTTTGTACAGGACGTAACCTGTCAGATGTTTCAGGTAATGGTCTGATCAGGAGAGGACAAAAAGAACAAAATGATAAAAGCAACACAACAAAATTATTGGCCTGGGATTGCATGGAAAACATACAATTTTAATCTCATAAATATCAACATATAAATATTTAACTGTCTCCAGTGATGAAATTTAGCAACACTCTGCATTGCCATTGGGCCAGCTTTGCCACCTCTTGAATTCATTACATGAATGATTGATTGCTTTCAAAGTCCCAAGAACTGCCTGGTGCCAAACCTGCAGCCTGCACCAAACCATCACCTCCAGGCAGCTCATGGTCCTCGTGTTAGGCAATAGCAACAATGTGAGTCTCCTTGTGGCAGGAGGTGAGTGAGTTCCTATTACACCTGCAGTAGAAATTAGGAGTGCAGCAAAGCACCATAGACATGACCAACCCCAGAAGAAGCATGAGACAAATTACCCATTTTATCATCCCCGAGTAGATGAACGGGAGGATGAGGATAGTGAGGATCACCAGCAGCAGCAGGAGCAGCACAAGTCTCTGGACAGCCAGTCTGTTGTCTGCTGGAATGTTTTCCTCTGTGTATAAAATGTCTTGGCTGCTCTGAGTCCAGCTAGTGCTGTCAAGCCCTATAGCAGAAATGTGTATCTCAGGATTTGAATCAGGGTTTTCCAAGTGCTCCATGATGTCCTCTTTATTTTGAAGCGTGCGGATGAGTCCTCCTGACACACCAGTGGCCTTTCTGCAGAGGGGGCAGGTGATGAGCCAAGTGTTCCCTTCTCTCCTGAGGATGAGCTTGAGGCAGACAGCACAGAAGGCATGCTGGCAGTCCAGGAGCTTTGGGATTCTGTAGATGTTGTACTTGTTGAAGCAGACTAGGCAGTCCATGTCAAGAGATGCTGTGGTTGGACACTGCTGGTTCCTTTCCAAACTGCATATTTGGGCAGAGGTTGAGTTTGTTAGCATAACAAGAGGCTTTGATTTTGGACAGTCTCTTTCCAAAATGTCTGGTTTAGAGGCATCAGGACTGGCTGGCTCTGTGCCTGAAGGTCCCTCCATTTCTTTAACACCTTCTTCAGTGAATTCCAGCCTCTCCACATCCACACTCTTTTCAGCTGGGGGTCCTGCTCTTCTCAGCCCTGCAGCACCCTCCTCAGCAGGCACAGGACTGTCCTTCTCAGCCTGTGGTACTCCAGGAGCTGCCGATCCATTGTTTAGCTTCCCACTGGATTTCTCCATGGAGATAAATCTCAGTGCAGTTGGTCTTCCCTGAGCTGAAAGATTTGCTGAGTTTCTGGCTCCTTTTATGTGTTGCTCTACTCGGGTTGTGTGCATGATGGATTAGTGACAGTTAGCTTCACACGTGCCTGCTCTTACAATACAATGTTTTTATGAGATGGGGACCTGAGTTACTCATTAACCTTGTGGCCAAGACATAAGACATTTTACAAGGACTGATAATATCACTGAGTAATTCCTGTCCGGAAGCAGACTCCATGGCAGGAGCAGACTGCAGCTTGGTGCACTGTGGTAGCCAGACATTGCTAAATCATTACTAAATGAGTACTTTATTTGTTAAATGCAGTTTCACTGGTCTCTAAACACTGCTTTGATGGGCAATGACCGATTCAGAAGAATGATCTACTATCAAAATTGGTGAACTGAGTACAGTGCTTGGATCAGAGATAGTGTGTCACCCATTTTGAGTGCTCTGGATAGGAAATCTGCTCTTGCTTTAGCAGTACTCGCTGCCCTAGAGCTGTTACCTGACAGCACCAAGAATTAGTTGAGCTTTTAATGTCTAATTATTATCAACTCTCTTATCCTAGGAGCATCCCTGTTAGTTTCAGTCATCAGAGTGCAAACTGAAGCGTGACAGGGTCACACAGGGTCTCACAGAGTCCATGGGAGAGATCGGGGAATTAAAAACCAGGTTAGTGTCTTGGCAGGACCATCTTCCTGCACGCACAGGACAACCTCATGCACTCAGGAGTGCCCTTCTGTGAGGTGGTTTTGTGACTAATCAGCTCTTCTAGAAAATGAATGAAATCCTCCACTCTCTGATTTCTCTCTACTTTTTTATTTGAAGGGTAAGACACAATAAGAATCCCATGGAAGGAAGGAAGGTAGAACAGGAAGGTCACTAATCCCAGAAACGTAGACTAGGTCAGCATTACCAGAAGACCAGCCTGTAGCCTCAAGTGCACCTCAGCGCTCAAGCTGTGTTACCAAGAATTTGCCCCTCCCTCCAGCAGACAGAAATGAAACAACTGCAACTTAGGAGGGCAAGGGGTTCAGGAAGCCTCTAATCTGGTGAACTCACTGACAGGGGGATGAGGTGAGAAGAGCTTGTTCTTTGCTGAGAAATAGTAGTAGGTTTG